TGCCCTGAATAGCAAGCTTTATTACTTTGAGTCATAGCCAGGCTTTTAAAAGGCTATGGGCGAGTTTTTCCTTCTGTGATTCGAGATGGATTCTGCTTCTCGTTGTGAACTTTTCCAATAAGCTTTGATATAAACTTCAAGTGATTTTCTTTCTTTTTGTCTATTTTCTGTGCAGATTCAATATTTACGTATCAAGCAAGGGTATATGACCTATTAGAAATTCCATGCGCATTGAGCGCTTGTCAAGACATGTTGAAATTTTGAACAAGCATACAACGAGCTTAAAAATATCAAACTCGATGGCAGCAAGTAGGCAGCCGAAAATGGTTGCAGAGCGTTCTGGGTCGCCCATTTGCCAAATATCCCGCCACTCACTCTGACTATAAACCACGCACCCACTCGCCACCACATTGGGGATACCTGAAGCGCCGCGGCGCCGTAGTAGCCTCTCATTCGTTCCGTCGGATCCACTCCAGCGCCCCCATCCTTCTATATTTCGGAATGCCTTCAGGCCCCTGGCTTCGGTACGTTCGTTTTCTTGAAAATTTCTGCAGTATCAATGTTTATACATGACTCAATTTTTAGACGAAGTAATTAGTTTTAGCCTAGCGAATGTAGTAGTCTCGGAGCTTGCCATCTTCCCATTATCGGGTCAGACAACCGAAGCTGGAACCTCTTAGATTCTACCGTCACCAATAGATTTAATCAAACATAAATACCTAAAATTCAATATAAGCATGCATATGTCAATAAAACCAGAATTTTATCAATATTCATAACAGAGAGAATCCTGTTAGTATTCATGCATTGTACTGAACATGTATAAGTCGCTTTTCCGCTCTTGATACTGCCCGTTATTCGTAGCTTTGTAAATTACTTATTGTTATTGATGCCGCTAAATATTGACCTAATATCATTAAGACACACTTTCGGATGTAAATATTATGAAATGGGAACCCTTCCCGTCTTCCGTGAAACGCTGACCAATATCGAAAATCCGGACACGATAATCATCGTAGCGTTGGATTGAGGGTTTTTGTAGTTACATATGAAGTTCCACGGAAATGCCCTTTCTATTGAAAATTCACATCAACTCACATAAAATGAAATAAATTCAAAAGGATATAACTAGAGATATGTTTATTTCTCGTCAAATTACAATTTCTTGGGTTCTTGACACTCTATGAGATCGATTTGCGGCTTTGGGCGGCGACTGTAGGATACATACTATGGCAGCCACATTTGCAACATTTAGAAGTTGGAACCCTTGTGGTCTTAGAGTTATAAGCTGATGCCACAATCGGCATGGCGCTTTCTGAAGCTGCGGAGCCACCAAAGCGAGGGAATCCAATGCATACTGGTCCGCTCTCTTCGGGGCGTTTCCCTGCCTGTCTCTTGGGTTCCACAAAACCTCCCGGCTCAGGAAAACTTATATCCACACCCTCCGTTGTCATGCAGCCGTTGATGTTTGCAACAAACATTGGTGGGAAAACAGGTGCGTCCACCATAATTCTGGAGAATGGATCTAGTGGCGCTTTAGCCACTGTGATTGGGGCACAGTTCATGTACATTTCACGGTTTCCGATTTTATTGAACCAAGTCCAAGCCAAGGTGTATTTTCCTGGCTGAATACCTTCGGGAATCGTGAAAGGAAGTTCAAGATCATGGTCAGCGGTCGACAAACCATTAAGGTTCTGTGATACATCTGAGGGACAGCCGCCTTCAAATGACTTGATAACGTTCCACTTTGAATTTTTGCTTGGCTCGAGATCAGTTGTGAGACTGATTTGACAAGACCCACCACCATGTGTTGCACTGCCTAGCAGACGAATGGCCTGATTCTCTCCGATATGATATACGTTTTCATGCGAAGGAGCTCGAAAACCGTCTTGGCGAAGCTTGCAGGGAAAATCGCTACCATCAGCAGCTAATGGCGAATTATTCAGGGTATCGTTGCTATATGGTTCAGGTGACGTCATGGTGAGATGGGAACGAACTAGCCAAATTGGAGTCCCAAATAGCAGAATAACTTTATTCCACACAGAAAGCCTCATAGTAGCGACCAGAAGGTAACCGTACCTGAGGACAAATCTAATGTTTGAATTCTTATTTGGGAACTGAACGAAGCTTTTTAAATAGACAGCAACAGTCGCCAGCCAGAAAGACCTATCACTTAACCTCGAATAAATAGTTGCGTGTGCCATGCTCACAGCATGTGCTCCTGAATAGAATTAATTTTTCTTATATCGCACGGACTGCTCTAGTCTACTGTGAGCTGCCAACCGATTATGGCGCACTTGTGATAGTATGATATATGGTTTGGATTGATGAAATTCAATAAGTGATGCCCGTCCGTTTGCTGAACGTTTAAGTTTCACCGAGACCAAAGCCGCTCGACGAACCGTGATGAAAACCGGTCGCTCCATTAACAGCAAATTTTATTTAATTATTCAATTTTTAATTTTATCTTATTGAATGCTCGTTTGGCAAAGTGTACTTAAATAATAGTGAATTTTCGATCTAAGGCTGAAATTGATCTTTCGCGACTGATCATATTTCAAACTTCTCTACCATGATGGATAATTCCCCGCGCTCAATCACGAAACCCAGAAGTGCATCCAATCAAAAAGCTCGAAGAAGAAGGGAAACACTTTTCAAAAAGCTGTCTGAATACAGTTCCGAATGTGCTGCTGATATTCATCTGAGCATTCGGATGAAAGGTTCTGGCCAAATTTACACACTGGTGACGACTTTGGAAGGCTGGCCACTTTCACAGGATCAACTCGTAAGTCTTATACTCCACTGTTTGTCAGAAATCGAATCTATTGCCATGTGCTCACTGTCTATCTTCAAGAAATTACAATACCCCAAGCCAATCTATAAGAGTTTGCCAGACTCCGTGAGATAAAACGACCAAGGGTGGCATAGAATCAGAAGAGAGGGGAAATCCAATGGCGTATTAAGAGATATCGTCAGGTGGGCTGTATAGCAGGGATATATGCCTCAAATATGACGCCCAAGGCTGGAGTGGGCGGTATTTATTTTTTCCCTATGGTCCATGAGTCAACATAAGAGCACAATCTTTTCTCATATGAATGCTATAGAGACTACTTGTTCGTATTAGAGCGAGGGAGTCATGACCTAAATTCCACCAGGAATTCTGTCCATGTTTCTTCTCAGAAGCCCTGTCAAATGCAGAGTAAGATAGCATACAAAGAAATATTGATTGCACTGATTCTACATCAATCATTGAGTCTAGCAAAATTGATGTCTGGGAAAGAACATTTAGCTTGAGAGTATTCTCTGATCTCCTAAGAATGACACTGAGGCTTTGGTCTTGTGGTGGTGTTCTATAGTGAACATCTTTTTACTTCAATTACCAAAAGAGGGGTTTATACATACTGTAAAAAGCTTCGTTTCCTGTAATTGTGCTGGAAGGTTAAATAATAACAAATAGATAACCTGCTCAACCACACTTCTTGAAACTTCTCGCGTCACTTGTATCAAGGCCGCACAGCATGAAAAAAAAAGGATTAATTCAAAGGAATCATGCCGACACTTCTTCTTGCCCATGTTGTGTCATAATCATTTTTTCGAGGTTTTCTGCATCGGCAGGACCATCATTGCATTAAAACTCTGTTATTCAGTCTGATCTTTGGGCTCGGGGCGTTGCTCATCTGTGGTACTCGTATGATGGCATGTGGCGTCTTCATGATTTGCGAATTCAGTTATCACACCGACAGATACAGCTTGTTGCGCGCAATCATCTTTCTTGGACCGAGAAATGGTATCTTCAAGTGACAAAAGACCCTGTTCTGCGAGGTTGGAGAATTTCTTATCGCCCCTAACCGCTGATTGAGTTTTTATGATGCCGTTCTTTGGGCCTTTATAATGACGTGACATTTTGAGTGACTGATAGTGAGAAATCTTATGATAAATGCATGGGGGATATAGCCAGAACTCTTTATATTCTTCCTAAAAACAGCTGATCTATGCTTTGAATCATGAGTATACGTAAACCATATATCAGAAAACTTTTCAGCTATGCATGGGTGCTCATCAAAATAGAGATTTCAACATTCCTTGGGCATTATGCAAGCACTTACCTCAGAAATAAAATAGATCGACTATCAACTGTGAATCTTATATCATCAAGTACATTTTCTGCGCACCCTGATATTAAGATGGAGGCTTCCCCACGGAGGGCGGCTGATATCTTCCAGATAAGGAGTAATAGAGATTAAAATCCGAAAAAGAAATTATTCAACCTCCAGAAACTGACTGAAAGCATAGTTTGGGTTAGAGTCTCAATTCAGTGAATTTTGGCTTACATATCAGCGCTCTGTATGTGTTTTACTCGACAACTTTCTATCAGCAGCGTCACAGATCGGAAAATAGCGATGAAATTATAGTTCAGTTAGTTGTTTCATCTATAGCTGCGGCCTAGATAGTACGGTACAGTCAGATTGGGCCGAACTCCGACTGTTTGTAGCGAGAAAATGTGTCGTCATAAAATAGGCGTACAACATATAAGGGCCGGGAGGAAGGCGATAAGTTTTTGTACAATATGTTGATATTTGGATCCAAAATATTGATATACAGGTAATATGTCCTCTTCGTAATACATTATGACGGCGATGTCATATTTCTTTCGTTCATGAGCAAGCGTATGAAGCCGAAGCAGCTCGGCTGGAACAATCTGATGTGAGATCGTAGATAAGCAGTTAAGAAATTGCCTTAAGCTACCCTGCGGGCAATTGCAATAGACAAGCTTGGTTTCTACGATGCTGCTATGGTTATATGGTCCAACAATATTAATTCAAATTTCTTCACCGCGGAGATAATAATTATAATCCATATCTGAGTCCGGTCAAAACACGTGATCAAGGCCCAGAAAAATCCCCAAATTCTCGTTTGTTTTAATTTCCAACATACATTCTCATCGTTCCCTGTCCGTATGAAACTCAAAAAGCACCTGCAGTGAGATAATTGTACACTCTTCAGGTTTTGTCATTACCCGCTGCAGATGTTTCGGAATCTCCCGTGCGTGGGTGTGAGGGATTTTGGTGACCAAATCTTTTCCCGTTGAATGGTGGCAGTTTATAAAGCTTGTAAACTAGCAAAACAGCCAAAAAGACGATAAATGTTGCTCCAGTAACAACAGCTGTTACTATAGCCATCACCGACCACATTCCTCCATTTGATGCGAAGACATTGATCAAGGTGGTAAGCAGTCCCGCACCGGCGTTCAAAGTCACTGGCCTGGCATTTTCGTTAGTGGCTATTTGTACTTTCTGGCTAATACAGTACCGAAGTTTCACTTACATGAAAATCTTATTCGTCAGCCACACGTAGTTTCCCCTTAGGCGTGGGAAGTGGAGTAGCCACAGCATTGCTGCTATGCCGCCCACGAGGAACAAACAGGCAATTCCGAGCAATGGTGGATTCTGAATGGTGTGGAATATAATGCGGCCCGTTTTGTTAGACGTCAAAACATGTTCAATTTCCTTTGATGTCTGGAGTGATGCGAAGGTACCAGGGATGACAAGGTACCCGGCTAGAAGCGCTCAGTTGGCCGCACTTGCTGTGATATTGAAGGTTGCGTCCATTTGGTCCTCTTCCTTGAGCATTCTTAAATATCGCTCTTCTTTGGCGTCCCTGGGACAGTGAAAGTTCTCTCTGGCCAAGGTAGCATTCTCCCTTGCATAAATTCGGGCTGGAAGCGGAATCAGCGTTCCTTGGGAATGAGTAGACATGCTTCCTGGATTTTGTAAAGAAGAAGATCACTATCTGTCGAATTCCAGTACTATGTGGGATATTTATATGAATCTCAGCTAACATTAAGAGATATTATCGGGTTCAAAACTTAGTCGTTGAGAATCAATCAATACGAAATCGACGGAGGTAGTATTTGTAATGGCTTCATCACAATTATGATCATGGGCCTATAAAATGTGTTCCTGAGCGTAAATCTTACGGAGCTTTTGAGAGACGCACAACTGGAACTACTTTTATGCTGCTGATTTCTGGATCAAGGAATGAATATGAGGCCACACAATCGATATTTAGAACGAACTTTCAGGTATAAAAGCCTACCAGCTTTAAAATTTGCATTTCTAACCCAGAAGCTGCTAACACTCGTGATGGCGGCATGGCTAGATATTATCAGAGAAGGAGAGGATTGGACTTTCGTTGATACGGACCGGCTAGGAGAGCTTATGAGGGGGATGCCGTTTCCTGAACGCCAATATCCGGATTTAATTTACTTCGCAGGTCATAAAAGCCGAATCACAGCCCTACGATCTTTCCTTCCACAAAATAATGTCACCCGCAAGGGTGCTAATGGGCTGGTCCGCCTACATATTGACCATAAGGCTCTCAATACGGATAGTCCTCTCATAATTGCTGAGAGCAGTCTATGCTTACAGCAGAGTACTGGCGATACCAAATGGCTCAGATACGCGACCACCAAGCATCGAAGATATGCACTCTCGATGACGGGAGGTTTCTCTTCCGCTGAATCAATACAGGAAGAAATAAAAAGACAGCTCGTCCTACCATGGACTCGGGTCTTGTGCTTGTTTGTCGAATCCGAATCCGATCTCAAAGCCACGCAAAGTTTGCTCCAGCAACCACATAGACAGCTGCAAGTCGGGAGCCAAGCTAGTCGAACTTCACCTGAGGTGATCATTGTACTCAATAATAACATTCACGGGCTAGCGGTCGCCTCACCAGAATATGAAAAGCTGCGTCAGATAGTCGAGGGGAGGAGGATTACATTCCTCGATCTGAGTTCAAGATCCAGTCTTTCTGACACGATCGCTTTTGAGCCGTTGTGGGCCCTTATATCCGAGAAGCTGCAATCAGTCCATGCCGAAGATGAGAGAGTCTGTGGTCGGTTTTCTGCATTTCATCTGAGCTCACTCTGGGACACAAGTGTTCCAGCTAATGGCCAGCTCTGGAAAGCATCGCCATTAGATCTGCTGGCTCAAGCTCGCATAGGCTTCCCCAAAACGGAGAAGAAAGATGACTTCCTGAAAGAGCTCTTAAACAGCGCGATGCCCTCCGTCAATCATAGTGCTGTTTTAGAAGGATTGGTCGAAGTTGTCGCCTCGGCTTTTCTGATGAATGCTTATCCGCCGGGCATGCACGGTAGGGCTGACAGTCCCCAACTGAATACCAACGCTAACGATTTTAGGATTCCCTCCCTCGGTAGTCTTTACCGTCCTATACGAGGCTCATTGTACAGATATCTGGAATGGTTATCCTTTTGGGAGACTCACCGAACGCATTCGATCGCGCTTTGTTGAAAGGTTCGCGGAATTGAGCGTCAACCGAACTTCCTCGTCTATTCGCAAAGATGCACTTGGTCAATTTCATCGTCAGGGAGGAAACCTATATTCCACTACCACCTGCTTTGTTTGCTTGTTTCGGCCTCCAGAGCATATGTTGCCTTGTACACACGCATTGTGTGACACCTGTGTGGCGATATTCGGGAAATTTGAACCCTCCAGGGCGTATCAAGTCGAAATTGTCCAATGTCCGATTTGTGAACGCAAGTGCAACATGACCATTCGTCAACTTCCTCCGACAAAGCGCCCTATTATCCTCAGCCTAGACGGAGGAGGCGTCCGGGGTCTCATCCAGTTGGGACTTCTCTGCGCCTTGGAAAAACGTACTGGTCTACCAATAGCATTGCTGCCAGACTTGTGCGCTGGAACGAGTGTAGGTAAGTATGAGCCCGGTGGGAAGTATGAGCCCGGTGGGAGAATCAGTTTCTATGCTTAAACACTTACAATAACTCACCCCTAGGTGCATTATCGGAAATTGATATCTTCATCAATGGTACTTCGACCACCAATTGTTTCCTCAAGTTTCCCAGTCTAGCACGAAAGATATTCCGTCGTGATTGCAGGAACCCGATTCTTCGCTACACCCATTGGCTAGCCTCTGCATTCAATCTGACCTCCCACGGGCTCTACGATTCGATAAAATTATCAAAAACTTTACAAGAAGCCATCAATCCCGCCCGTCGAATCTTTGACGTTCCCACAGTGAACCCATCAGGTTGTCGAGTGGCTGTTGTGGCAAGTCGTACCTCCGATGGAAAGGCATGTGCGATGGCAAACTATCGAGGAGTGGGTCGGAATGCAGCTCCTGCTGCCTATGACTTTGTGGCTCCCAACGACAACCAAGAGGAACTACTTCTGTTAGAAGCGTAAGTCCACTCCCGTGTGGCATGTGCGCACTTCAAATCTGTGATTATATGCGTTGCTAATACTATGTATAACATGGCAGAGCAATCTCTAGTGTTGCAGCCCCGTTGTAAGTTACTTTCCCCGTCGTCCCTTGAATAGATGAAGCTGACATTCTAAAGTTACTTTTCCACAAGAGTGTTACCTGGTCTCGGTCCCTTGCAGGACGGAGGGGTGCGTGCAAACAACCCATTGTCCATTGCTCTGCGTGAGTCAAGTGTAATTTGGCCTGCGGCAGAAAGACATGATCTCCTTCTCTCGGTCGGAACCGGTTGGTCGTCTGTTATTCACGAGACCTCCTCAGCCTGTCGCAGCAGAATCCGGGAGGGCGCTCTACCACGTCTTCTCCGGGCCTTGATGTTTTCCCCCTCGATGGACGGCAAACAAAGCTATTTCGAGGCACTGAATTATCTTCCACGCCTTTCGAAGCCGGACATTTTCCGACTTGACCATGAGATCCACGGTCCAATACCCGAATTAGACGATATCAACTCATTGGAAAAGATCTTAAAGATGAATTTCATCGTTCCAGATTCGCTCGTCCGGGCGGTTCTCGCGACGGCGATGTTTTTCTTTGAGCTGGATGAAAACCCCGTCAGAAGTCACGACAGCTTTCAATGCCGAGGCTCGATTCTTTGTGCGAGACCCGGTGCTTTTTCCATCCTCCAGCGAGTATTAGTCGAATTTCCCGCTGCTCGATTTCAGACTAGCCACGGATGTGATCTAGGAAATGTAAGCTCGCTCAATTGTTGCACTCATTGCGGGTACTTTCGGAAACCTGTGGCCTTCCCGGTAGCCAGCCTCGGGGAGAGGGTATCCATAAAAATAATAAGTGGCAACCACTGCGACAGGATTGGAGGCTTTCCAACATCCATACAGAAGCTACTTGATAGTCAACAAGCTCTTGCTCCTTTTGGTCGCGCAGACCATTTGGTCTTAGAGTGGCCTCGACACAGGCAATGCCCCTGTCATATTGGAAAAAGGCGTCAGGTTCAATTCTCCGACCGACCATGTCTGTCCAAAAAAAGACGACTATAGAGATTTCCCTTTAGTGACGCATCTTCTCGGAACGCAGAATTTCATTTCGGTGATCCCCATGATCTTTTCCGATCGTCACATTATTACTTTGTTGAGCGTCCTCGGGCACGAATGCGTGATCAATTCAATTTCGAGCGCAAGTTATATCGACTTAAAAGAATGTATTTTTGAAGTACTGGCAATGAATCATTTGTTATCTAGTGTTGAAGGCAGAGATCGCTGGTGATAATTTTTTACCGCTGTGAAATATTAAAGATTGTTAATGAATCAACGTTTTCAACCATGAATTTAGCCATTAGAACATACTTCGCCCCCTTGAGTTATTGGGTCGTGTTTATTTCAATGCTAATCCTATCGAATTGGCCACGAGCTTTTATTCCGCGTGGATCAAAATCCCGCAATATGCCAACCGATTTTTCCAACAATAGCTCGAGCATCTACAGCAGACCTCTTGATGCGGCAAAAGATGCGACTTCAACAAACCCTCCTCTTAAAATTCCCTCGATTGGCTTATCGGTACCTGAAATCAGCCTTCTAGATCATCAAATTGCCATGGCAAGAGGGTCTACGATGGCCTTGGAAATGACACGGTCGCGTCTACAGCTTTGCAAGGGACAGATCAACATACCACGTGCCGATTTGAGGAGACAAAAGCTGTGACAAAAAGCTCAACAGGAGCGCGAGAACGAATTTTATCGAGATTGTTTCCATATTTTTCGCCAACTTATCATCACAATCATGGAATCCACACAGGATTTGGTATTGCAGTATCATTTCCATCCTGGGAAAGGGCCGGTGAAAGATCCACGCTTGATCCGAACAATCATACTCTTAAGGGTAGCACTGGACAAATCACGAGCCGAAGAAGCTGAAGCCGAGAAACAACTGAAACAACAATGGGGCGTTCCCTCCACGCTTTCATCGGCCTCTGGGTGGCTATGATAGTGAGTATTGCTTTGTATAGCTGAAGAGCCCAAAGTCTTTCTTGCAATCATGGCCCTGTCGGTATTTGTGAATACGGGAAGCGACGGACCGTTTACATGCTTTAATCCAGGAAATACATTTTTAGCGCCCTTGAGTTAGCTCTTCGGCTTGCTTAATCACATTCAGCTTCGCTCTCCGCGATTTCGAACCTCAATGTACGTTTCACACAGCTTATGAATTTGAAGTCAATTTATGAGGAGTCAAACTCGGTGCCTATGTAATTACTGACTTCAGCGAGGAATTTGTCTTCATGAGATTGCTGGAGCCTGTTTGCAGCCTCGGGCAACAATTTCAAGCGTTTTTCGTGGTCCTTTGGACAGGTATCGCATAGCAATAATTGCCGGTCGAGATTTCTCCACAGCTGAGAGTTCAACTGGTCCAAACTTGAGATTTTTTTGTGTAGAACTTTCTGAAGACCACGGAGACTGTGCGACATTTCAAACCCAGCAATGCATCTGACTAGCTTGATCGCAATATGATTCATTCGCAGCAGAGTATCTCGTCCCTGCTCGATCCTGTGAACTGCGGCATGACGAATGTTTGTAATAACGCAGCGCCACCGCTGAATTGCTTTCCATGCCAGGTTGAAACGACTGTCTTGAATGTTGCCCTGGTATTTTGCTAGGAAGTTGAAAACCCTGTGCAGCTCCACTGACTCGGCACATTTCCATCCAACTTTAATTGACTCCGACGGTAGCCATCGGACGATGAACTGGAAGAATCGGGTTTCGAGGTGCCGCTGTATACATCGTAGAATGATATGCTGGGCTCGAAATGGTAGATAGTTTGACGAGAATCCTGGCATGGAAGCTATTTTGTCTCGAATCTCTGTTTGGAAGGGTGGGCAAAATCTCTGTCTCTCTGTGTAATTGGAGATCCTCATCCTCTCTTCCAGTATTTTTGCTGTAACATTCATAGGTCACATAAAGTGAGACAACAAGACCAGCTGGAGAACAAGATAAAACTTAGCTAGTTCCTCTCAAAGCCCCTCAAACAAGGATTATATCTATACTATTGTACTTTGCATCGATTTTGTGAGTCATTCAAAATAGCAATTAAAAGAAGATGTATGATTGTCATCATATTCTTGGTACCTTCAATCTGTGTATATTGTTCGATAATATTTCTTTAGTCCGATAGTGACTTCGATGATAGATACTGTACAACACCATTCTTCTTCCAAACACGAAGTCTACAGTATCGATAATTTTTACCTTTGACAGGAGTTATGATCATTTGGGGTTTTTGCTTGATAGTAGTTCTGGCTTTTGCAATCCCCATGGTAATTGTTTCCAATCCACTCGTCGGATCTTCTAGCTATTTATCATTGACTAGGCTATTCGTCCAATGCCCCCAGAACTTTCCGCGGCGCTGAAGGTATCTCATATCATCTACAGCTTCTTAGTTTCATCATAATCATGCATCTTACTAATTCGTTCTTCTGCAGCTAGAGTCGCTACATCGCTCTCCGAGTAACAAAGATCATCCCCTATGACAGTACGCCTAGCTGATGACATTTCATTCCAGGTAATCATCATCCGTCCTCAAATCATGGCCTTGCCCACTGGCATGGAAGACACCACTCGAAGCACAAGCATAAGCGTTTGGCTGGATAGATGGAAGGAAACTAAAGTCGATCAACGGGCTTTGAGTAAACAACGATTCGCTTCCTGAGGTCTGTATCGACTATAATAAGAGCATACATGTCTTGATAATTTGATATTTTGCGCGAAATGAGACGTTGGAGTACTATAGCTAGTTTGAATATTTTTCGATCATTCGCTGTCTTAGAAGTACAGCACAGCAGATAACTATAATGGAAAACATCACATTCAAATGTCTCACACATTTGGCTAGTCTGCAGTGTCTTGAAAAAGGATTGAATGACGTCGATTTTGTTCGATCATACTATTGCACGACGATATTCGTCCAGGTGTTTTGCCAGATCCTCCCATATGCCTCTTTTTCGGATTGGAGTATCGACACAGTGGGGCATGCTATGCGTTGGCTGACCAAGGTTTGTTGTCTCATAATCGCGAGATGTTTTGACAATTGGAGGCTTGGCGCGGTTTCTCTTCTATGCATTAGCACTTCATGGAAAAATCACTATAGCATGTTGGACCTTCTTCTCGCCCTTACCATGTCTTCCGCTGATGGTGGAGTGCTGTTTGGGTGAGAATGGTACGTAACGATTTGACCGTCTGGGAGCTCCATTACAAGCCAGCTTTTGATCCCATACAGAAGCCAGAATTCATTGTGACGACGAAGCAGGTTGTTACGGCGTTTTCGAAGTTGTTCTTTTTTGACTCGAGTCAAAACAGGAGCCATTTTTAGAATGTATGTATGGAGAAATCATCAAAAGTTTGAATAACAATTATATATGTTTTCTGCACTAGGTCGATTTTGTCGAGATTTGTCCCAACACAAAAAAGGTTTTCAGAAGCAATCAACGGTTATAAACTCCAAATTAGGCGCAGGCAGTTTTCCCAAACGAGCCAAACAATGAGGATCAATGTTGATAGCACAGAATGTTTCTGTGGCCGCAGATTTTAAAACATTTATCAGTTACTCTAACAACGTAGCCCCTGGAGATGGAATTTTGGAATTTGGTTGCATCTTAGCTTATAGAATAAAGTAGAGCCTGCCAGGCTTGGAAGGGCATTTGACGCTTTTTCCTTTGGACTTCAGGAATTCATATCATAACTGTCCTTCAGGTCAATATGTCTCTAAATCGGCCATTCAAAACTTCTCTGGAGTAGGTGATCGATGAAAACTAGAACATGACAGAACGCTCACTGGTTTTAGGACTGGGAACGTCAAGTCACCAGCTTATATTCCCTGCAAGCCTCAGTTCGCTCCCCATGATGTCTCTACAACTCGCGCAACCTTGCTTCCAAACATACCCAGCAAGGAAAGAACGACTCCGTCGGAACATTATCTCGTGATAACTGCTCCTAGTCCAGCTATTTTCGATGTTCCTTTATCTGACTCTGAGCACACTTCTCAAGTTGACTTGGTGTCCAATTTAACGCAACCGAGATACTCTACAACCGCCCCTTCATCATATGAGAGTCAAGCACCCACCACTGCAGATGTACACGGTTTCACGCATTCAGCTCATGGCCTCAAGCACTACATATCTGAGACCGATGGGAAACACGTGTTCTCATTGACTTCCCACATCAACCAGGAGCAACAAGCTTTGGATACTCTTGACAAATCTACTTTGGAATTTTGGTCGGAACCTGAGACGGACTCGCTTTCTTTGCCAATGCCCTTACTGTACAGTGAGATGACTGGGGATTCTGGAGGTGTAGTGTATTGGGACAAAGAAGGCTTGAAAGGCAGTTTATCAGATACGGGGTTACCTCATACAGCTGGGTTGAATGACGGGGCCTGGAGAAGCGTATCTACATCCAAACAGCATGGAGGCCACTCCGCTCAGTCTACAACATCGATAGATACAGCCACGCTAGGACAAACGAGCACGAAAGACGGCACCTCTACATCTGCCATCATGACTTCAGCCCGATGGATGTACGATCCAACATCCAGTCGTATCAATTGGTCAATGCGAGTCTCTAAACAGGGTGTGGAATTGATTGTCATGAGCGTAGTTGGAGGAAGCCTGGCATTTATAGGTCTAGTGCTTCTACACCGTCTCATCTCTCGCTCTTTCCAAAAGAAAAATGAGCGATTCAGACACCTTTCTCCCGTCTCGCTGGCGAATAGCTTTTCTAGAGAGGAGTCTAGCACACGTATTTCAGATTTAGCGGAAGTTTCGCATTTCTCAATTGAATCTTAAACGCATATTGATTGATTTTATGTAAAAGGTCATGTAAAATATATGTATGGGCATGATGGGTATCTCGCAACAAGGGCCCTACAAAATATGTCGATACATTTTTTTGGAAACACGAGTTGATGGCTTCGGGAAAACGGATATACAGTATCACAATGAAAAACAGCGCCCCCGGAAATAAATCGTAATGCAATTGAAATACCGGTAATGTATGTACCGTTACTGGGAAAGATACCGACAACGTCGGGAAGTTGCCTATTCCGGCGAATTGATGTGGTGAGATATGAACCGGTGAGATGTGAACGGTGAAAAGTAGGTCATTTAAATCTGGATTATTAAGAAGCACTAGTAAGTTTTGGACTGGTAAAGAGTGACTGGTGAAGAGTGACTGGTGAAGAGTGACTGGTGAGGAGTGACTGGTGAAGAGTGACTGATGAAGAGTGACTGGTGAAGAGTGACTGATGAAGAGTGACTGGTGAAGAGTGACTGGTGAAGAGTGACTGGTGAAGAGTGACTGATGAAGAGTGACTGGTGAAGAGTGACTGGTGAAGAGTGACTGATGAAGAGTGACTGATGAAGAGTGACTGGTGAAGAGTGACTGGTGAAGAGTGACTGGTGAAGAGTGACTGGTGAAGAGTGACTGGTGAAGAGTGACTGATGAAGAGTGACTGGTGAAGAGTGACTGGTGACAAGTAAACTGGTGAACCGTTGAAATTTTAACTGTTGAGACCGAGGATCAACTGGTGAAGTTTGAACTGGTGAATAGTCAAATGGTGAGAAGTAAACAGGTGAACAGTAATTGGTGAAGAGTAAACGGGGAAGATTAAACGGTGAAATCGAACTGATGAAGCTAAGATGTTCAAATGTAGGCGAGTGAAGTCGACTGTTGAAAAATAAACCGGTGAGATGTAAACCGCCAAAGATTAAACCGATGGAGGATAAATGGTGAGAGAGGTGATCAAATAGATCAAAGGTTGAATTGGGAATGCGTTGATACAGAAAATATGTAGATTTTTAGAGTAATTCCTGAAGGTGATCACCGACCTGAAAATCCGGTGAAGGCGGGAAGGGCATCGAAAGTGGTGAGAGTGGTGAGTCAACACCCTCATTTTGCCAGCCCGCCCCCCCAATTCCAAGAATCTGCCATGTTGGTCATGTGACTGATGACTCATCTCGATTCTCACCTCAATAAACTATCATGGTCATTTTAAACGTGATTCCCTTCCTAGAAGACACAAGCCAATATTATTTATAATGTCTAAACCCGACCCGTGAGAGAAATACATCAAATTGAAATTCAGGCTGCCAAATTTCATGGCATACTTATCAGCTACAACCAGCGCAGTTTCCAAGGAAAATAATGTGATTCCAAAGCCTTCCAGTGAAAATTCATTCAATGCCACTCAAAGCCTCAACCCCGATTTGAGTGAATCATATGTCAGGTTTATTGTAATGTTTTTGTGGATGTTGTCGCACATATCTACGCCACAACCCTGGAGCGAAGAGAACGGCCCATAATTTTACACCGCCTGCCTTCGCCCCGCCAGGAATCTTCACGAGCGGCCGATCCGGCGCTCTCGCATCATACGATATCGAAGAGTACTTCAAGACCTACAGATCCGCCTGGGCCGAATGTTCCGCTCTATATGGATATCCACTCAGTCCTGATCGCGTGCCGCAGCCTTGGAATAAGGGGTGGTCCCAAAATGCAGCGACTGGGCCAGGCGATTACCCGTCGCTCACAACGCATCTCCCGATCACTTCGTCTTTCATACCCCCGGAGATCACGGCCCGGGTCAGATAGCTGGTTTCGTGCCATAAAAATCTTAGCCAGCGCAGTCAATTGTAGGCAAGGCGTTTTATTATCGCAACCGCTACCAAGCCAGGCCTACCTCTTTGGATCTTTCATACTGAGATACCTAGCCGGGGGTTCTGCAAAGGACACGGTGGATGGAGAGACAAATTTCTTAGATTTACTTACTCTAGCTGTCAACAAATACGCT